AGACCCTTTACTGGCGGGAAAACATATGCTCCCGGAAACTTCCCAGATGCTTTCTGATCGGAAGTTTTCATGCTAAATAGTATGTCCTGGGTCCATGCTTCCGCACCCAAGAGGTTGGATACTTTTGTCCCTATGGCATAATAATGTGTATCAAATAGAGTTATATATGCTATCGAAGCAACTTCTCTATAATCATTTATTATATTATGCCTGACCGCGAGCTCCTGACAACGTAAGGCGTCTATGGTACAGTAATTAGCTATTTCGTGCATATTTTCAGTAGAAGAGTCTGAAATCCTACCCCTCGCTTCTGAATAGTACTTCCATAATTTGCTCATAGGTAAATCGGCTTTGCTGTCGAGACCACAATCTTCTAAGAAGTATTTGAGTGATCTTCTCTCTGAACGGGGGAAAAGTTGCAACAAACTCGCGCAAACGTCAATTGGTACGCATCCGGGAAGCTTAAGAAAAGATGATTCAAAGCTCAAATTATTGGTACCAAATTTGATGTTAATAGATTCACGACCTTCTGTTCTTCTGAAGTTCCTGTCCGTTTTCTTCGCCCATTGGTCCCTATANGTCTTCAACAATCTCATGGAGTGATTGGACGTTATTAATATCCATAGCCCTTCGCATAATACGATCCCCTATAGTTTTGAAAACTTGGGATTTACCCTGCTTCACAGTATCTATTCCCCTTATAAAAGGCTCTCTTGGTTCGAAGTTAGGAGTCTCTTCATGGTCAATGCCAAAATATTTTTTCTTTCCGGTAAACGCTACTGGAAATAGTACTTCCTCGTAGGCCATTTTAAGATAATCTGAACTAGTCTTGAGCCTGAGGAAAGTATTCACATCATTGCGCAATTTTTCCATTACACCCATAGTAGTCTTGACCATCTCGGTCCAATACTCTAGTTTAAAGATTTCTCCCTTCCCATCATTATAAGCCAGATCGTATTTATCATAGCAGGAATCTGGACAAATGAGATATAAGGAATCGGTATCACCGTATTTTATCCTAAAGCCTTTCTTTCTAACGTACTCTGCAACACGTTTGATAATTTCTTGCCCAGCCGAAGTAACACCTCCAGCAAGTTCGAGTATGTAGAATGGGGAGCCACTTCTGCCCGTCACACCATAGAATGAATTCATATACAATTTAATGGCTTTCTGCTTAGAATTTAAAGAATCATAGGCAAAGCAGACAGAACTGTATTCTTTTATAAAATTATCATATGATAAATCAATAAAAGGATCTAAGATTTTAACCATCTCAGTACGCTTCTTCACATTCTTCGTCGAGGACAAAACATCTTTGATTGCATCCGCTATTGAGATAGATCCGCTGGCATGATCCCTTTGGGATCCATCCATTCTACTTTTGACCTTTCCCATATATTCCTTTTTCTTTCCAATAGGCTTTAGCTGGGCTTTTATTTCATTTCGCATTCTCCCCAATCTCTCCAATATCTTTGGGAAAAGACCTTTCTGATCAGGCTTATTCCCATGCCGTATAGTCCAGGCTCGTATAGGATTACCATTATACTTGAACTCGATATTGTGAAGTACTTTATTCTCTCTTTCTAACTCATCTGCTTCCGAAAGTGTTGAGACCATCTTCTCGGGTGAGAGGTTGTAAGTCATAATTATGCTAGGATACAAGGATCTAAAGTCTAAACCAGTGACAGGACGTTTATTTTTGAGACCCTTTACTGGCGGGAAAACATATGCTCCCGGAAACTTCCCAGATGCTTTCTGATCGGAAGTTTTCATGCTAAATAGTATGTCCTGGGTCCATGCTTCCGCACCCAAGAGGTTGGATACTTTTGTCCCTATGGCATAATAATGTGTATCAAATAGAGTTATATATGCTATCGAAGCAACTTCTCTATAATCATTTATTATATTATGCCTGACCGCGAGCTCCTGACAACGTAAGGCGTCTATGGTACAGTAATTAGCTATTTCGTGCATATTTTCAGTAGAAGAGTCTGAAATCCTACCCCTCGCTTCTGAATAGTACTTCCATAATTTGCTCATAGGTAAATCGGCTTTGCTGTCGAGACCACAATCTTCTAAGAAGTATTTGAGTGATCTTCTCTCTGAACGGGGGAAAAGTTGCAACAAACTCGCGCAAACGTCAATTGGTACGCATCCGGGAAGCTTAAGAAAAGATGATTCAAAGCTCAAATTATTGGTACCAAATTTGATGTTAATAGATTCACGACCTTCTGTTCTTCTGAAGTTCCTGTCCGTTTTCTTCGCCCATTGGTCCCTATAAAAGAAACCAATGCTTAATGGCTTTCCAGTTCCACCGAAATAATTCCAAATGAGAATGGATTGAATATTGGCTGTCTTACGAGGATTTGCTGACATTTGTTGGACCATCCAGTCAAGAACCTTTAATTTTGTAGCCTTCTCCACTATAAATGGCCAATCATATCCAGAATCGTTAAAGCCAAGCTGGATGTCTGGGGCAAAAGATTTCCAACATAGAGCAAATGCCTTTAAGAGATTGGTCTGATTCCCGCATATGATGGTCATGCAACGTGGATCTGGTGCCGTCTCAAAATCAACGAGACGTATTTGTTCTAGTGGTTTTGGGTCATCTTTCCAGTGAACTGTCATACAGATCATAAAAACTTGAGCTGTATCATTTTCTGCTTGTGGGACATTACCTAACCCACGCGAATCGTATGTTTCTATGTCCCATGTTAGAACTAATGCTCGGTCACGAGAAAAGAGAGAAGATGGATAAATTTTATAAAGTGATCCAAAATCAACTATGGGTTGGAAATTACCAATGTGAACATAAAATGCATGCGGACAATATTGGGATTTCGCATAATAAGGTGCACTGAAATTATATTTGTAGTCGCTTATTAACCCCCATCCAGAAAGTGGTATTCTATACTCTCTTGCGACTTTACGGTAATATGTGCCCGTATCATCTGAAGCGGTTTCTATCCTATTTTCTTGATCAACCTTCGAATTATAATTTAAAATAATATCGAGAGCAGTGAACCTTATATCTTTATTAGGTGCAATGATGCGAAGATAAGACTTTTTTTCCGCATGGTAGCCACGAATAGGATATGCCTTTATGCACTCCCTTCGGATAAGATTCATGTTTACTCTATTCACCTGGCTGTCTTTTTCAGTAGCGAGTAAGTGCTTTATTTTGGACCAGAATTTAGGAATACTTGCATTTTCAGAAACGCGAATATCGAAAAATACCTTGATACCAGTAATGGTGAAGACTGCCTTCTGGCCATTAACGAGATGTCCATAGATTCGAAGAACATAATGGGGGATTTTATTAACATTCTCTTTGGCTTCTTCTATGTCGTATGACACGAATGGAATATCTCGATGATTCGCTATCTCAACTTTGAGAGTTGAAGTTGACCCCTCATCATTTCTCATAGCTAATTTATTACGGGTTGAGAAACCCGCCAAGTAATTCTCACCGCCATATCTGATTACCTGACCCAATGATGTTTTTTCTTTTTCAGCCTCTGGGTGAAAAAGGGCGGGGGCGTCGATGAACTCTGAAAGTGAGGATTGTTCGGCCATTTTTTTCGAAAGATTTATAGTTATACCAAATCTCAAGGTATATTATTCGCAAGAAAAAAGTTTAAAATGAAAATAATTCCCCAACATTATTAATTGATATATACAAATGGGAGGCGGAAAAAAGCTGACACCTTGGAATTTTTATTATTGTCCATATATTCTTAGGACTGGAGAAGTGTGCAATAGGAGATGCTATGATCCAAAGGGATGTAAAGTCCATCAGAATTCTAGGCAAGTTCTTTGCAAAGAACCCGGGTGTAAAGAGAATACAAGATCCAAATATGACTATTGCGATACGCATGCAAAAAAACATAGATCAAGGGAACATTATCATCAGAAAAAGCAGGCTAAGTTGGCTTCGACAGAGATACTGGTAGGTAATTTAGATATAAACAAAAATAATACGACTTGTCACTAGTGATACGATCTCTTTGGGATTCACTAGAAAAATCCGTCCAAGTTTACTGGGACGAGTTAGGACGGAAACCAGGACGGAAAATTATAGCTAAATGGCATTGTCGAATCGAACTAAAGGGAATTTGAATACCCGTCCTAGTTGTCATAGTTGTCCTAGAAAAAATGCAAGATCCCAGACTTTTTTATTTTTTTACATATAGGTATATAT